CGACGGGCATCGGCTGCTGTTGGCGATCGCGTTCATAACTAAGATGGACGTCGCGAACATCAGCTGGGTCAGCGTCGGCAAGAGGAATGAACTCAGGTATGCCAGTCGAGGTTACAGGTTCGGGAATGTCAGTTGCAGCAGCTTCGGATGCTTCAGAAACTGCTTCGTCCTGTACATCAGCTTCTGCCTCGTCAGTGGCAAACGCACGCGAGCCTTCGAACAGCCTGGCGGAGTTGGCAGCTGCTGCCTGGTGGGCACGAAAAACGGGCAAGGCGAGTCTTTCATAAAAAAGACAATCACGTGATGGAACGATTTGGTTGGAGCGGAGATCCAAAATCTTCCACGCGTGATACTGTTTTTCGATACCGAGATGTACCCCCCATTTTGCTCGTTCAGAAAATTTGCCGAGAGCTGCAGTTGGAAGACGAAACTGGACAACACACCCAAAAACTCGTAAAAGTTTTGTACTCCCAACTGTACGTGTCCACTGCAGGTGCGGAGAAGTGAACTCGGGCAGGGATGTGGAAGAACGAAGATTGTGCAACAGCACGGCGTGGTCCATCGCATACGGCCAAAAATGCGGTGGAAGGGCTGCCTGCGTCAGCAGAGCACGCATCTTCTCCTGCAGAGTTCTGTTCATCCTTTCTGCGACCCCCATCTGTTGATGTGCATGTGGCAGCGACTGCTTCCGTTTGATGCCGAGTGTCTGCAAGTATTCTGTGAAGGTGTTGCTGGTGTACTCCCCTGCACCATCGCTTTGAAATTCTTGCGGTTTTACTCCTGATTCTCGTTTAGCGACAGCGAGCCACGCAACGAAGACGGAGTGAGCGAGATGGCGCGCAGGTAAGTTGGCTGTCCAGACATAGCGTGTAGACGCTTCGATGAAAGTGATGACATACTTCTCGTCTTTAGGACCTGCTTCAGACAAATTAAGTATGTCGCTGTAGACTTTCTGCATCAGTTGATAACGTGTTGAGCCAGGAAAGTGACTTGGAAACGGATCGTGCGTAAGGTTGGCAACCGGACAGGTGGTGCAAACCGTCGGACGAGATTGCGGCTTCATCTCCGTTCCATCAGGTAAAAGTAAACTGTTTTTATCAAGAACTGCTGCTCGAATTGAATGGTTTAAAATCCCTTGTGATGGATGCCCTAACCGCTGATGCCATATATCTTCTGTGGTTTTGTGTCCTGATGATCGCAGGTAAAAATCGGAGTCAGTATAAAACGAAGAAAGTAGAAAAGGAGAATGGGCTGGTGACTTGTCAGAGTCTCCTTCGATAAAACGGGTAAGAGGTAAAGTAACAGGCGTCGATGTGGTTAGAGGTGTAATTGCAACTGCTAATGCTGCTTCTGTTGATGTCGTGGCAGGTGTTTCGGCGGCAGCTACTGTTGAACTCAGCTGCACAGCTACGGCTTCTTGTTCTGCTTCGCTAATGACGTCAGGTTCATCGGCTGCAAGACCGCTTATCTCGCCCCAAAGTGGTGCTGGAGTTCCTTGGAAGGCTGCACGTGTATTATAAAAGGTTCGCCAAGTGGTGGCGCTTTCATCAGCTGTATTAAACTCCTAGGTATCCAAGGCGGTTAGTACGGCTGCTGCAGTTCGGGAAGTTGTTGGGACAGTTGTTGCTCGAAAATCAATGTCCACGTGTTGATAATCTGTGTCTTCAGGGTGATCCCAGGGACCAAGTGCAAGCACGCGTTCCGAGTCGCCAGAAGTTCCCTGTGCTGCAAACTGAAGGACCGACATGCCATGTTGAGTGGTGGCACGACCAAGGTAGGTATTAGTTGTACTGTGCCAGAGCTCTTGATCCATTGTGTCGCAATTTCCTTGAGTACGGATTTTGTGTGCCAGAAGTTGAGCTGTGGAAAGAAGGTTGAAACCAAGGCCGGCGACGATAAGAACATTCGTAACATGAAGTGAGTATCCCGTATCGATAGATTCGAGCATGACACTGCCAACTGATCGTGCCATTATCGTTTGTCCGTTTGCAACTGTTACAGGTATCGGACGACGAAGAGGACGCTGATTCGTGATGAAACTTGTTTCGGCAGAACACATATGCCATCCGCAGCAGCTGTCGAGATACCAGGTATTTGGTCCTGAAATTATGCGAGCAAGGTTAGCATAAACTTGAGGTAAAGGAATGCCTTCAGCACTTGTTGTTTCTTCAAGGCGTGTTTCGAAATCTGTTTCTGAAACATCAACCGTTGTAACACATCCAAAAACGCCTTTCCCTGATTTGACAGATGCGAAGACCGGCGGGCGCTGTTGTGAAGTTGATAAACTCTGCGACGATTTCGGCATCTGCTGCTGCTGAGGAGTTAACTGCTGTTGTGGCGGATGTGTCTTAGGTGACTGCTGCGATCAGTGATACGGGTGCGAAGTGTTGCGACGGGTTTGATGACGGCTGCGACAGTTCTGGTAAGTATGGCCTGGTTTCTTACAGTAATGGCAGAATGGATATTTTGGCGGATGTCGTTGCTGTGTTTCAAGATTGGAGTAAAAACTTAAATGAACCCCCCTTTTCTGGTTGCGTTGTGACTGCAGGTCAAGATCTTGCTGCTCTGCTTGTAGATAAGAAGAAATTTCAGCTT